ACTAGAATGGAGTCTAAAGAATAGGCAAGAGGAAGGTATCACTAACGTGATCAAAGTACTTTTGAGAAGTGACTGCTCCACCTTAATTAATTAAGTAATTACGAAGTTATAAGGAAATAGCAGTGCGGTTACAGCTTCGTTCGCAGCAGCATGACAAAAGGAAGTGGTTAATATAAGACTTTATTATCCTGAGAGTTACTTTATACTTTTTGAAGACACTGTTTAGAAAAATGATGACGATCGGAAATGGCATGTTATTAATTTCACATTTTTAGGCTTTCATAAATGTGTAAGATAATATTTATTATAAGACTGGTCTAACAATAACTAACCAAAAACTTCGTAAAAAGCATAGCATTACCCATAAGATGCCTGAAAGGTAAACAAAGGTAGTTACCATTAATTTTTGAATGATCTTTTTATCATGAACAAAATATATTTGTTTATTCAAGTGAGACATCTAAAATAAGAGATCTATTTTTGGACGAGCTTTTGATCACTATATATTGTTAAATCCCTGGAAGGAATCAGAAACTATATACAAATAACTGATATTTCATACTGTGGAAAGATGGAATCATCTATCGTGACTGAGAGTGGAGCCAATAGAGCTTAGGAGCTGTCCTGATGTTCTCAGGATCAAACATGCTCAAGATTTGAAAATTATCTTCATGTAGAGAGGCTGGCAGATACAATAAGTATCAAGTTATATGATCATCTCATCAACAGAGAAAGCCATAATGTTGATATTCAGAGAATTACAGATAATAATGATAACTGATTAAAGTATATGTTTGAATCTATAGACTTTCTGACACCATTTGCAGGGTATCCTAACCTGTCACATCATGCAAGCGAGTGCTGAATTTGGAACTTTCAGTGACATTTACATATTTGCTCAGACCTGCTCAGGATAGACCAATGAATCATTCAACAATAAATTAGCAAATCATAATGTGGTTACTAAAGTATCAAAATAATGAAGAGGAGAATGTGAAATACTTGATAAACCCATTCCCCCGGATAAAAAAGTTTAGTAAGTGGACATGATCGGAAGATTGTTGGTGCACATCAGCAGTTTCCCATTTGTGCCCGGCTCCTTTGGTAGTTTGTGAGCGACATTCGGCACCTAAAAGCTTTTATTTTGCTATAATTTTTAATAATATTATAAATTTGAAGGTTTACCCTCACGTTAGGTGCTATTGCCTAAAAGCTTTACCATATAAATGAAGCCGCTAACAAACTCCATCCAATGAGCCAATGGCTTGGGAATGGTTGTGATACGATGCCATCCACTACTCTGTCCACAACAGCCATGGCATGTACGTACATTCTACCAGGCAGCAATGGATTAAACATGTTTAGTACCTACTATACCTAAAAAAGCAATTAAGCAAAGAGAGCTTTGGCTCTTCTTTTTGTTGTTTTGTTTACAACTTTAGCATGAATTTGTCATTACTTTATCATATATCCATCATATCACCTAAAAACTCTCAAGGAAATACTCCCCAAACTACTCGCACAAAACCTTGCAATCTGAATGGAACATCTTTTTGATATATGAATATAGTGAAATGTGAATATACATGTATTTAAAATATTGTGCAAAATGACTTCCTGAAATACATATTCTATTGAGAATTTTAGCTTTCCATAACTACTCAAGATAAAATCAGGAATGTTTTAGACAGTTCAATCTTAGCTAACATAGGGGTATTAACCCCTAGCCGACGGGTGGCATGTACGTACATGCCATGGCTGTTGTGGACCGAAAGACGGGTAGCATCGTATCATGCCCATTCCCGCGCCACTGGCTCGTCAGATGGAGTTTGTTTTTCTCTGATAGTAGCGGCTTCATTTATATGGTAAAGATTTTAGGCAATAGCACCTATAATATAGGTAAACCTTCCCTTCAAAATGTTAATATTCTTATAAATCATAGCAAAATAAAAGCTTTTAGGTGCTACATGTTGCTCGCAAACTACCGATCGAGCTGGGCACCGGCCGATGTGCCCCAATAATCCTGTCCATACGTCCACTTGCCAAACATTTTTACCTGTCGGCACTGGGTTAAGTCAGTGGATCCAAGTGTTGTGACTATTACATCATGAAAAAATTTAGTTGAGGGCCAAGTGACTCAAATATGCAGTCATGAAAAAATCTGACTAGGATCCAGCGTGACAGGAATGTGCTGTCATGAAAGATATGACTGAAGGCCAAGGTAACGGGAATGATTCTCTATTAGTACACAAAGTTCCTGGAGAAATATTAGACTCAGTAAACATACAGTAAGGGGCATTATTTTCACCAGTAAATGAGGGTGGAATGTACCATCCATGAACCATGGCTGGAAGAGTGCTGGCTCCAGGGAGGGCACTACTTCCATAATCAGGATCATATTCCTGTCCCCCATAACAGGCAGCACAGCGTATTGCAAAAAATGAATAATAAGAAAATGATACTAATAACAAAATGTTACTTATTTACTTTTGATATGGTACAGAGTTGTAGACTACTTAGAAAGGTAATATGGAGTATGTGAAAGGAAAACAGGCTATTACCTTCTTGCAGTAGGTGATCAAATGAGAAATATAGACCTTGGAAAATGGCAAAAAGGAAAAAAAAAAGCTTATGCAGAAAAAGAGATAACATTGCAAAGTGGTGGCAAGCCACCCACTCTGGAGAGTCTCCACTCAAGTAAGCCTAATGTCATGTGTGGGCTGCAAGGCACCTGGATACAATGGGTTTACAAGGTTTGGGCTTGGTGAAAGGGAAATATTTCTAGATCTATGCAGTGATAAAATAATAGTTATAAATACATCTCTTTCCTCAGGGCTCATATCAATGTACAACTTTTAACCATTTGGATCTGGATGCTTTATTGCCAGCATAAGGCCCAAAATATAGGCATTAGGCTTACTTGAGTAGTCACTCTGACAGGTGTGTGGCCTGTAGACTGGGTACATATGAAAACTCAAGTGCAGTGACAAGACTCCATGCCTCCCCTTTGCAATGTTTTCTCTTTTTCTGCATGAACATTTTTAGTTTTTCTTTTTTGGCATTTGATTTGCTTCATGCAGATGGTAATATACTGTTTTCCTTGCACAGACTCCATTTCATGTCTCTAGGTAGACCAGAACTTAGTGCAACAATAATAACAATAAATAACATTTTGTTATTTTGAGCATTTTTATTTTTTTTTCTCTAATGCTAAATTTTCTGCAATACAACCTGCAGTGCAGGTCACGGCAAACAGCAATATAATCCTGAGCATGGATCCCACTCCTGTGTCCTCCCTGGAGCTGGAACTTTTCTCGTCATGGCTCATGGAAGGTACATTCCTCATTTAATTTTCTATATAAATAATGCAAAAGCCCCTTCCTAAATGCCCAGTGACTCTAATCACTCTCCAAGAGCTTTATGCACTCGTGGCAAGTCATTCCCATCATCCAGGCCTTCTGCCAAAATTCTCATGATAGCAAATTCCTGACACATCAGTCTTCAGCCAAAACTTTCCCATGAACGCATGTTCACACCACTACCCTCCTCAAGCCAAATTTTTTCATGCCGTGATGGTCATATCATCTGGTTGCAAGGGTTATCCTAAGGAGAAATTTAATATTTGGTAAAGTAGGGTGAGGATGGATGTACATTAATGTGCATCATTGCTCTGGGCCTGAGTTTTTGTCCATCTTGCAGGAAAGTGTGCAAGAATTCATCTTGTTCTTAGCTCTTGAGTCTGCTCAGCTATGCTGTGAGAATGATAAAGATTTGAAATATTTGTTGCTGCATACTTAAATTAAATGGCTGTCAAAGGGAAACTGCTTGATAATTTTCTATAACTTAATACTACCATTGTTGATTTCCCCCCCCAAGATCCCAATACTATCCTCTGTTATGGTAAATAATCACAGATGTCAGGTGATGCTTGACCATGCCATGAGTTTATGTCCCAATCACCAGGATGAAGTTTTGTATTGTAGCCGACCCCCGCAACCTGCAGCGCAGCATACTTCTCCCAGGTTGGGTCCAGGTCCATCAGCAGTTTCTCAGAACCACTTAAGCTCCTGACCCGGGCCGAGTTCATGTACTCACGATCCTCCAGCCAAGCAAGACACAGCTAGCAGCACCTAGGCCTAGCCAGGCCTTAGCCGACGGGTGAGCCGCCCCGGCTCTCCCCAGCACACCAGCCATACTTGTGGGCACTCACACCCACACACAAAAGCTCCTTAAAGAGATGATTGACACCAGTCTATGGCGGATACCAATCCATTGCCATACTGGTGACTTTCCGGAGTGACACAAATACCCAGCCTTCTGGAGTATCACGGTTATCGCTTGCTCGCTTAGCTCCCTCACTGGAGGGGGAGTACTTGTAGCCGACCCCCGCAACCTGCAGCGCAGCATACTTCTCCCAGGTTGGGTCCAGGTCCACAGCCTGTCCTCTCGCCCTCACCATCAGCAGCTTCTCGACGACGCATACCGAGACCTGATTGGTTGACCACGGACACCTCACGGCTCGCCCATTGGACCGCAGGCTCCCCTCGTTCCCGGGTGGCTGGCACAGCTCAGACCCACTTAAGCTCCCGCACCCGGGCCGAGTTCATCACTCACGATCCTCCAGCTGAGCAAGACACAGCAAGCAGCAACAAGGCCTACCCAGGCCTTAGCCGTCGGGGGAGCTGCCCCGGCTTTCCCCAGCGATCTCCAACACACCAGCCAGACCTGTGGGCACTCACAGCCCACACCCAAAAGCTCCTTAAAGAGATGATTGACACCAGTCCATGGAGGATACCAATCCATTGCCATAGTATGACCTACTGCAAGCTGAACAATCACCTAGGGGCAGAGCACCACACACAATATATATCAATATTAACCCATGTTCACCAATAATTTTACCCGTCATTATTGGGTTAAAGCCCTAATCTTTTATGCTTTAAGAAAATGCAGATATATGAAGGTATACTGGAAATATAAAAAAGGCTGGGTTTTTAGAACCACCTACCAGTTTATGTCGCATTATATTTTGTGATTGTATTGGGTTCTAGTTGAGAATCCTTTCTAAGCATAATCTGCAACTTCTGGGTTGTGAATTTCCCGCAACAATTTCCTGGAAACATTAAACCAAATGAGAATAATTGCAGACTTCCTTACACATATTGGAAGAAAATTAAAGGGAAGATGATCCTTTGGTCTCATGCACATTTAACCCAATGCCATCGGGAAAATGTTGCGTTCACTTTATATTGTTTAGTTAAATGTCTCTGCAAATAGACTGCCCCGCCAGTGCTTAGCCACAAAGGAGTTAATTAGTAGATTTTGTGACCACGTCTTTCCTTAAAATAGGGGAAAACACTTCTTTCACTAATGCTATCTATACTGATACTACAATTTTTGTTATAAACATTATAATTACAATATTATCATTGACATTACTAACAGCAGTATTAAATACTAGAAAATGTTATCAAATATCAAGGAAATGGGTTAACAGGTGAGACAGGTACTTCTTGTAATTGGCTCGTTGGTGACCTAGTACTTGTGGAGCCATCTATATGAAAAAACAATTATTAATTAAACACACAGTGGGCATGGCATGCATGCACATGCCATCCCTGCCGGCATGTCGTTAAAACATTGTATAGTGCTAAAGCAGAATAAGGTTTTCATTAAAAAAATACACTCTATTCTCCTTGTTCATTCATATCCTTATAAGAATGTAGGAACAATTAGACAAACAGAAATGGTCCTTCAATGGAGTTATTCCAATAAAAGATACTATACATAGGTATTATGCTACAATAAAAATAATAAAAAAATTGTTTCAGTCAAGTACAAGTAGGCACAAACCACTAGGAGGTCAGAGATAGACTACTTATGATTTCTTGATATCTTTCGCTATATTCTTGGCAGGTATATGCATTACTATTTCTTTAATACATCTAATTATCTATACGTACATCATACTTTATACTGTGTTTTGCATATAATAAACATAAACCTAATATAAAAGATAAAATTCAGAATACTAGTATTTCTTTCCTGATTTTCTATAACGTCTTACAAGAGACTTTTGTAAAATAGTGCTCACAAATTTTTTTTTCTGCATAAAATAGAAGCATACTACATGTTTCCCCCACTACCCTACTGGACGTCTTTTGTACACAAGTCCAAACTGGACCTCTCCAGTTACATACCTGATGTCAGCTAATCCCCCTCTTCTCTTCTACTTGAAATACAGTCTGAATAATGTGTAGCATATTGCCACAAAAGGTGTTCAAGTAAAAAAGTAACCTTTTATTTTGTTTGTTTCAATAACTAAAAAGCCTTTTGTTTTGCTTTGTGAAAGCTACACAGCATAACAGCCATGAACAATACATGTGGACATATACATTATAGTAATAATATAGAGCACAGTGTGTGAGTGTATGGCTCTAAACTACATGGCAGGAATGAATGTACTTAGCCCTTGAGAGGCAGCCAGGGACTGGATGAGTGTTGCCTTTTGTATTCTGGATTTTTAAAATAATTTGATCATTATGTTTATTCTTATGATTCTTACTGTGTTTCTTATCATTATTAGTAGTAAGAGTAGCAACAGTAATAATTCTACTACAGCTACTCTGATATCATAAAAAACTAAAGCAAGTTATACACTACTTGGCAACTCTACATTATGGAACCAGTCTAAACTCCCAACACTGCCTCCCTCCTCACCCCACTGTGTCCTTCTGTTTCTTCTGCCATCCTTAATTTTTTATGGTTTAGTATGTGGAATATTGATTATCTATATATGGATACTTTAGTTTGTAATCTCATATTTTGTATTTACCAAGAATGAAGTATTAGAAATTACAATAAAGAATTCTTCAAATTGGAACAAATTTGCCTAAGGTTTGGGGGAGGCACTGAGGCAAAAGAACAATAAATTTGATCTATGTATGGATTAAATGTATTCTTTGGTGGTTAGAGACTCCTTGACCATATGGACAAATACCTGCTTTTACCACAGTATAATGAGGACATACCCTAGTATTAACAACCCTCTAAATCTTAAATATTTTACCCATACATGCAAAAATACATCTAATTATTGAATTCCATTTAACTATTCTTTATGAGACAGATCAACCCACTAATCGCCAGTTTAAAATGAGTAAATTAAGGAACATCTTCAAATATGAATAAATACTTGAACAAAAATTTCAAGCAAAAACTTTGAGGTGATGATATTACAAAAAATGCATCTATTATTCTACCATAATTTCCCATGAACACATGGATTTTAGCAAGATACAAGCAAATCCCACTTTATGCAATTATTGCTAACTTGTCTCAATTTCAAGGTTAACCCAGTCACCCTTGGTAAAAAAGTTTGGCAAGTGGACATGATTGGGGGACTGTTGGCGTGCATCGACAGTTTCCGTTTGCATCCGCCTCGTTAGGTAGTTTGTGACGACATTTGGATATTTTGCTATAATTTTTAATAACATAGGAAATTTGGTTTACCTTCACATTAGGTGCTATTACCTAAAAGCTTTACCATAGAAATGAAGCTTCTAATATTGGAGAAGAACACGCTCTGTTAGAGGCAACGGTGCAGGAATGATTGTCATATGATGCCACCCGCTACTCTGTCCATAATAGCCATGGCATTTACGTACATGCCACCCGGCGGCAAGGGGTTAATTTGGTTTACGTGTGATGGTCAATCCTATCTCATTTGTCAAAGCTTATTCTTTGGTGTAATTTGATAAAATTAATTTGCCAAAATAATATGCCTCCTCAGCACCACATAATAAATTTGAATATCTTGAAAAGTACCAAAAGTCCTGATAATGCCATAAGAGCAGTCCATACCCCTTACCCTGTCCCTAGCTCCCCTCCTAGCAACCTTCAAGTCATACCCACTCTCTTTTTCATTTACTCTCCCTCTCTCTGTCTCTTTCTTTCTCACTCATTGTCTCTCTCTCTCTCTCTCTTTCATTTATCAATTCATCCTTTCTTTCATTCTCTCTTTTTTGTTTATTCTTTCCATCTCATTCTTTTATTCCACCTCTTTCCCTTGCTCTTTTTATCCCCTTCTTTCTTTCTTTCTTCCTCTCGCTCATTTGCCCTCTCACTCTCTTTCCCCCATTTTGTCTGTTTGTTAGGAACAATAGGCAACATTAGCTTTTCTGCTGGATTATCTAGATTTTCTGGCTTAAACTGATAAAACTCCACTCTTACTTACTGGTCTGCTACATCAGTCACTTCTGTGCTGATCTGAGAAACTATTAAGTCAATTCTGCATAATATCAGAATTGGCTCATTGATCTCCCACATTTTTCTGGTATTTCAACTTAGTTCATTGGCCAGGGAAGCTAATGGTGCCTATGGTTCCTGATAAACAGATAAAATGGGGGAAAGAAGGTGAATGGAAAATGTAAGGAAAAAATATGAAAATGAGCTGTCTTATTAGTAATAGCTATGTTAAAAGGCAATATCATAAAAGTTGAAACTCTGCTATGCACTATAAGAGGTTGCAGCTCCAAAATAACTTAAATAACTAACATAACTAAAGGAGATGCTTTATGGACAGGCAGTTTTGGATGCAAAACAGACATCAGCTGCCAATTAGAGGAAGAAACACAAACATGACTAAAGCTCTATCCATGCAATCAAGCACTGCCTAACAGATATTTGCTTAATGCCCAGTGTTCTGGCAAAATTAACAAGCAAACCAACAGAGTGATTGAGAGAAATCACTAGATATGGCTGTCTGCCAGGTAGTTTGACCATTTGCTGTTGGATATGGAGAGACGACCCTCCATGTGTATAATGATACACTAGGTTAGCAGGCCCTCCATGACTGCATCCGATCCGATTTCTCCACTATTTGAATTTACTCGATTTTTACATATTTTCTAATGCTAATAAGATTGATACTGCTGTTGTTATCATTGTCATTATGATGATTATAATTTTATTCAGTGGTGTAGATAGAAATTCTACTGATCTGAAACAGCCTTTCTTATGTAAACAAACTTCCGCATTAAATTGACTCCAGGAAGCAAAAAGTTAAGTTACTTAAACTAATATCATTAGGATAGAAACCATGAGGATTCAGCAATATATCATTTAAATCTGCTAAATGAAGAAGCACATCACAAGATAACAGATTGCCGTCACATTTTTCGACAAGGATTGAAAATTTCTAACAAAAGTGACTTGTTATTTGAGATGAGGGGCAACCCTCCCCATCTACGTCCTGATGTTATGAGATAGTATTAACCCATTTATGACGGGTGTCCCACATATTAAAAATAAACATTGAATGTGATGGATTGGAATTCTGGGCCAGCCATGCGTGCCGATTTTGAAGCTGCTGGAAACTGTCATTTTCGGCTTCAAAATATACCGGTGCTATTGGGTTAACAATAAAAATAAAAAAGGATCTTTCCAAATATTAAGGAAAAAGATAAAGAGGTCAGATAGGTATGACTAATCATTGACCAATGGCAAGTCAATAATTAGCACTTATGGACCTATTTCTGTGTAAACACAATAATTAAACTAAAATTTTAGTGGACATAGCATGTATGTCATTCCATCCACAAACACTGGGAAGGAAGGGAGGGTAGGGAAAAAAACCAATACACAAAAAAAATTGTCATCATCATAAAGCTCTGCTTTTTTCAAGAATGACCTTTAGGTAATTACTATCAACCCATTACCGCTGATATATTTTGAAGTCGAAAATAAAAGTTTCTGGGGCCAAAATCGGCGGCGGGCTGGCCAAGACTCTACCCCCCATACAGCCGCATGGTGGGACGCCTGGCATTTTTTTCTGTGTGTCTCATATGTGGTGTGTAATGGGTTAAAAGGATTAGACATTATAAATGCTGTTTATCTAATTATCAATCTCAGAAAGATAAAACATACATATCAATTATGTTTTGCTGGTAATATCTGCAGAAACTATATTGTAACTATATCAGGTCAACAAATTTCTGCATTCAAATAATGAATAGTTCTAGGATGAAACTTGTTTTCAAATTAATTACTTTTGTATCTGACATGAGATTGGAAACCTTTACAACAAGTTTAGTAACCCCAAAAAAAAAAATACTACACTTATATTTATGTACTGTAAAACTTAGTTTTTGATTAAGTGCACTTTCTACCACAACTACCTACTTCTGTTTCAATGTCTTAGCCTATCTGCTTTAACACAAAGTACTCAAGGTCATAAAGTTGATTCATCTTTAGCTAGCATTCGGTTAATCATGCATTAACATCCTGAAGCCTTCAAATACAAAGTTCATTGCAGGGGGCTGGAGTCAATTATTGCCTTTAAGTAACACTTCCCTTTGCATTTTATCAAACAAGAATGGAATAGTTAAAATTTTTAGAAGAAAAAGTGTAAGACATTTTGGGATAATAAGAAAAATATCAGAAGTCTGGTTTCATATTTACAAGCAAGATACCAATTTCTTCACTAATTTAGATATCAGAACCAAGCTACAATATCATAGAAAAAGAAAGTCAATGTGATGTCAGATTTAAGCTCTGAATTCTTGCACAGTAGTAGAGTTTGTTTGCATGCATGAAAGGACAAAGATTCAGAAAGTCTTGGTTTGATTTTTGCAACTTTTTTCAAGAATAATCAGTCTCAAGAGAAATACATGCTTCTAATTTTATATCTTTTAAAATCCAATACATCTTGCAAAACTAACACATTTTTTTCAGATACCTGATTTATATGGATAACTGACATAACGGGCAGGACAAGGCGATGCTACATGGTCAGGTAGTGCAGGTGACAGAGGAAACAGTGGCTGGTATATAACTGCATCTAACTCTCAATCTGAGGAAAGAACAGAACAATTAGTTGCATCTAAGAAGTAATATTCCTGTTCAAAAGCAATAACATATCTGGTGAATTTCATAATTATATTGCAAAATACTAATATGCTTTAAAAATTGTGCATTAAGGATTAATGAAATCTGGTATAGAACAACTACATTTTTCCTAAAAGCTCTACATGTAGCCAAACATCAGATTGGTAATATTTTTCTAGAACCTTGGTAATGAAAAAGTAAAGCTAATACAACCATATTCATTCTGAAAAACACACTTTGGGGTTTTAAGTGCATTTTCTCTCTAAACCACATCATTCTGCAAGAAGAAATACCAAGTGAGATGATAATACTGGAGCTTACTTTTAACCTGAAATAAAATGGTTTTTTCTTAAACTATGGCCAAGAGCCAACCTAATTGAATTATGGGGATCTAGTGTCAGGCATCCCACAACATAACTGACAGACAATACATGTCCTTGGTTGTCTAGATGTTTTTGTTTGTTAACTTCTCTTGGACCATCATATTCTTGACTATTGCCCTATCCCACTTATCTCAGAAGAACTGAAGATTAACAGGAAACTACAGTTGCAGCTTTTACTCCACATAACCTTTGCAAACATGGCACAAAGAGTACAAACTTCCATTCATGAAACTGGATCACAATTTGAACATCTGCAGTAAATATAATCTGCTAGTACTGTTTAAGCTTAATGCTCTAATGCATAAGTATAGCATACAGGACACATATAATACATACACCATATCATCTGGGTGATGTCTCTTTTGAGCTATGCCTGCTGACACCTTCAAGACAAATCACTGATCCCTTGACAGTAGATACTTTTGAATAAACTGCCATATCTGAAATAAAATGGCAAATTAAAAAATGCTGCTGGCTGTACTTGGCTTTATTTTTAGTACTATGGTTCCAAATTTTCTGTTGATCCCCTTGGACTCTTTCACTCAATAAATGTATTAACTTCATGGGAAGTTTATATATTTGCTAGTTTTAGAGAAAAGGGATGATAAATAAAATACAATAAAAAAAAATCTGGCAAAAATATCCCCCAGGTATTGTATCTACAAAAATATGAAAAATTACCTAACATCTTTATATGATACTGAATTATGAAAATTCTTCATATCTGGTGATAATGTAAAGATATGAAAATACAGCATGTTTTATCAAATGGAAAATATTAAGTTAATGTTTAATGAATCATTAGTTGAGATTTTAATTTGCATTTCCTTGTAAATATATTGCCTGAGTTCAAATCTACCTGGATATAACCTGTGATGGCTGCAAAACATAAATAAAAATAGAAAAAAAGCTAGTATAACATATCGAGACTTTGGCGGTCAAAGCAAAATAAGCCATACAAATATAAAATCCAGTAGCTTGGTTGTGGGTGCTGTAAAATATGACTGAAACAGGGAATATAATATATAGGGAGACATGCAATACATGACTTTTGTGTCTGGTTACATATCACACCCACATATCTGTCACTGGCCTCTGCAAAATAATCACCACAGCATATATTTGGTTAGAAAGAGCTTGATCTGGGCTTAAGACTGTAGGCCTTCTCTCACACATTAGACCAAGTTCTAAATGGAGGTTAATCTTTATAGTATGGACACATTAACAAGGGAAAATCAATTATGATATTCTTATAGAGGCCAAAAAGTTACAGTCATAGGTACAAGAAATAGTATGCAAACACAAATTGTACTGCCGCAAATAAAGATTTATAGAAAGCATCACTCACAACATACTCTACTTGGTGCCGCCAAGTTTCAGGTCTATCTTGCCGTGCATACTGAGGTGAAGACAATGTTTGCCAGGAGGTGTTGGTGGGTGGAGCCCCACATCAACCCTTCCTTGGGGCATTGTCCAATGGGCACATCCAGTCATGGAACCCTTAGATTGTTGAATAATTTTCTGACATGGAGCTGGTTCGCTACCTTACTAACCCTTCGTCATCTTCTAACTCTCCGACTACTGGAATGCATTCCTTATTCATTTGCTTGGTAAATTAATCAAGAATCTGCTGCAGAAGATAGTTCGCGTACCTTTCGGCATGTTATGCGCTAGGGGCGCGTCGTTGACGCACGTGATGGGAGTGGCTTGTTGCGTTATATGGAAGGGAGTTGGCAGCTGTGTCCGGATGGTCATAGACTGTAATTTTGTTTGGTTTGGCGCATCTAGCAGCTTACAAGTATATACATACCACTAAATTTTGGGCAAACCTGATTCCTATAGACTCATAAAACAACCAAAAATTAACAATAAATAGAGAAAAGATAAATTTAATCCTAAACCCTCATCTACTGAGTATGGATTATCTTTTATTATTCCTACTACAAATACTTTATCATGCAAACAAGCAAAATAACCAATTAAACTTAACGAAAGAAGGAAGAGCTGATTAACACGTGAGCTACAGGAACTGCACCTTTAAATAGTGTGTTAGGGTAAAAGAATCGCTAAGAGGACATAAACAAAATTATTCTATTGGGCAATCGTCAGGAAACTGAATGAAATCTGATCGCTTTAAAAAAAGTATATAACAAAGTGTATCAACACCTAGGATTGTCAACCCAAACCTCATATCTACTTGTATTACAATATTTAAAAGATATGAAGTAAACACATACAAATTAAAAAAGAAATAAAGCAACCTGGTACAATCGCGTTCATACTCAGTATCATTAAGTAATATCAACATAATAGACCCTGTTAATCATAAAGATTCTCATATAAAGATATCTATCATAAAAGAAATTGTAATAACTAAAACAAAACTAATAATCAAAAAAAACTTTCGAAACAGAGAGTGACTAATGACTATCATGACAGAAAACCACATATAGAATTCCCTTGCGGCAATTGGCTATAAATTCATACATCCCTCAGGCTAATCATAAGTATATGATCTACTAACACACACACCCACTACATATACACACATATCACACACACCTCATTCCCACCAATCCACACACACCACACATATCACAACACACACCCACAACACCCCAACCATTAATTTTTATCATAGCATTACCACAATCATTCTCACACATTATTAATCCACACAACACACAAAAAAAAAAAACACACACCACTACATACATACAAACATATATATGTAAGTATATTCGAAACTTTCACTACAAAGCAGTTTTTCTTACAACTTTCGGTACAAATTTTAGTGTGGCTGCATATACCCATCTACCTACATTTACAAACATACACACAAACACACTCACACTCACACTCAACACTACACTCACTCACACTCACACTCACACTCACACACACCACACACACACACCGTCTAACACTTTATAAGGCACACTGACAGATCATAGAAGGCACCGCGGTTAATTATCATTTGACCGTTAACTTATACACCCTGGTCTACCTGGTGAGAAGACCACCTTATCACATATATCATGATAAGCCTCATGTCAAAACGCCATCCATGAGTCCCATGCTGAAAACACGTTTCTTTATGGACATATAATCACATACAAGATAGAATAAAGTAAAAATTAATAAGAATAGAAAAAAAGAATAGAGACAAACAATCCAAAGAACGGAAAAGGCATATCACATGTCGACTATAGGCATTTAGCATTTTTCAAACTGGGTTATTATAACGGCACGGGGTTCACAAATCTCTACGCAGACTATAACTTATCAGGTTTCCGACAAAATGCACCGATTAGAACTGAATAAGAGAAAAAGAAAAAAGACGCAAAATGTACTTTTCTTGGACTCTTTCCTACAAGGAAATAGCGTGCGCCAAGATAATAAATAGCCTTTTGATTGGAATTAGCCTGAAGCTATTGTATAAGACTACATCTGCGTGATTTTTGGGCTTAATGTTTCGTAATGACACACTTATACAGGAGAGGAGAGAGAGATAGATAGGGTAGGAAGAGGGAGGAAAGGTATGAGAGGGAATAGGATAGAAGAAGGGAATGTGAGGGGAAGAAAAGGGAAGAAAGAAGGAAGGGATTGGGAGGAAGAAAAAAAGATGAATACCTTACCAATGAAATCCTAAGTGATAAGCATTGCACTCGGAGTTATGTGTTGTAATTTCATAACATTTTTTCTTTTTGCCTTAAATCTTTGGCAAATCAGATAAGCTGTCAAGACTTCTCCGGCAAACAGTACCTCTCATAAGTTCCTACTTTGGTTCTTGGCCTTATATAGTGATAATATATGAACTAAAGCCCAATCGTCTTTACAACTGTAATTGAAGAGACCCCCTGCGTGGTGAGGAACCAAGCTGTCGATCCAGCCCCGGAAAGGTAGTCTTCCCAAAAAATCAATCCAGGTCTGCGTTTATATCATAATCTTTATTAACGCAACCCCACACGCGCGCAGCCACATATGTACGTGTGTTTGGTGTATGTGTAATATTAATTAAAGAGCCGGATGTGAATTGGGGGGAGAGTACAAGGTTATATAGCACTTAGTAATCACAGACAGAGTGTGTCTGTGGTATGTGGTTACTATGATACATGATATGTATAAGATATAATATGGAATAATATATATATATATAAGGTTTATATCATAACAACACAATACGTATATATGTATATATGTATATATATATAATGAAATAATATATATACAATTAAATATATATATATCGTTATATATATAGTCAATATATAGATATGTATATATATAATATATAAAAATCTCTATATTGAATATATAAATATATCATATATACATATAAGTAATATGTATATATAATATATATATAATATATGTTCAGATATATCGAAAGGATAATATCAATTATATAATATCATATATAGAGTTTTATATAATATATCAATATATAGAATATATATAGTATAGTATATATAATTAATCTATATATAACACACAACACACACACACACACCCACACACAACTACACACCACCACCCCCACAAGAGGGTCACACACACATCAACGCATGGGACGAGCACCACATACACACACACACAGAGCCACACACACACAACATACGACTACACACACACACACACACACACACACACACACACACACACTATATATTATATAATATAAATATATATATTTATATAATAGTGTATATAATAATACATATATATATAGGAGATATATATAATATATATATAATATATATATGATATATACGTGGTGTGTGTGATGTTGTGTGTGTGTGTGTGTGTTGTCGTGTGTGTTAAGAAAGTGTGGTGTGTGTAGTCTGCTGTGGTGTAGTGTGGTATGTTGTGTTGTGTGGTGTGGGTGTGGGTATGGTGTTGTGTGGTGTGTGTGTGTGTGTGGAGTGTGGTTGTCGTGCTGTGTCCATATAACTTATTGATTAAAACTGAAGATAAACTATATAAAATTAAATGATATCATACATCTATATGATATAGTATAACATATTAGATAACATATAATACTAATAAATATATAGTATATATATATATATACTACAACGACACCACACACACACATCACACACACACACCACACACACACACATCACACCACACACACACACAACACATATATATATATAAATATAATATATATAATAATATATATATTATTTAATAATTGTTGGGTGTTGTGTGTAGTGTATGTGTTGTTGTGTGTGTTGTGGTGTGTGGCTATATATAGAATATAAAAATAAATAAATAAATAAATAAAATTAAACTATAATAATTAAGAATATATATATATTATATATATAGTATATAAAGTATTAATATTATAAATTAAATATTATATAACACACACACGACACACACTCACAATATATATACATACAACACCCACAAACACCCTATGTAGCATAAACATTCACAACCACATATATAATATGCAATATACTAGATAAGTGTATATATATATATCAAAATGTGTAATATAATATATTATATATATATAATATAATATATAATATATTATATAAATGTATATTATATTATACACACACACACACACACAACACACCACACACACACACAGGCAACACCCCACACCCACACACACCACACATACATACATAACACACACACACAACACACACACAACATACACAGCACACATTATATAGTTATATCATATACGTATATACTATATATCTTATGTAATAGTATATATATACATACATAATATTATATAATATATAATGTTAGTATAATAATACATAATATATATTATATTATATATTATATATATATATAAAGTGTGTGGTGTGTGTGGTGGTGTGTGTGTGTGTGTGTGTGTGTGTGTGTGTGATTTGTGTGTTGGTTCTGTGCTGTGTGTGGTAGTTGGGTGTGTGGTGTGTGTGTGTGTGTGTTTGTTGTGTGTAGTGTGTTGATGTGTGGGTGTGTGTGTGTGCTGGTGTGTGTCCATATTATGATAAATAAATAAATAAATACAAATAAATAAATGAATACTATATATTACATATAATATATATACATAATATATATTATAATACATATAATAGCATATATATAGATATAATAATAGAAATATCAAGCTATCAGTAGACTTATAAAGCGGTACATAATATTATAATAGTAATATATCCATATAGTAAAACACACACACAACACCACACCACAACAACACACACACACCACACACACACACACATATATATATTAATATATATATTATATATAAATATATATAGTATATATAATATCTATTATGTGTTGTGTGTGTGTGTGTGTGTGTGTGTGTGTTGGTGTGGCTATATATAATGAATGAATAAATAAATAAATAGAATAATAAATAAATAAATATAAATAAATAAATACATGAATTTAAAATATAACTGATATGTGGTTTGGATATATAATATATATATATATATATTATATAATATATAGCTATATATAGTATATGTACATAATAAATAAATAAATAA